TTGTTAAATACCTCTTAAATGTTTCATGATGAACTTTACAAGTGTTATTGTTTTGTAAATCAAGAATTTATTGTCTTTTATCTGTCAAAAAGGTTTTTGTTTTGTTTTGTTATTTATTTTTTGTGTGTTGTCATTGTGTAGCAGTGTAACTGTCCAATCGGAGGGTATCACATATGGTGAGGAAAAACATATTCTGCCTGGTATTTACTTTACTTTAGTCATTTTGGTTATTTAATAATAATAATAATAATTGATGAATTCCTGTTTTTTGTTTTTTAGCTCTTGAAAGCTTCCAGACACATAGGTGTTACAAATTCTTCTACATTACACCAAACAGTCCAAATTCAATCAAAACAATTACAGCAGATAAAGAATAATCATTAGTGTTCAGTCTGTACACACCAGACGCAACAACAATGCCTTCGGTCGGTGGGTGATTTTTTTATTTTATTATTTTTCATAAACTCTGTATTTCTTTTTTTTTTTCTATAAAAAAAATGACACAGCTGACTGAATGTATAAAGCAGGTTGTTATTGCACTGTAATGCAGTGTTCATAAGAGTAATAGTATCTATAGGCATGAGACAAACAACAGTATCAGAGTTTAGAAGAGTTTAATTCCAAAATGAAAACCGTTATAACATTAAACATTCATTTAAATGGTGGATTTCTCATTTTGGAATAAAAGTCTATATTACTGAATGTACTTTTATTATGCTTGAAAAGTTCTACTTGAACATTAATTTATCTGTGCATCTACTATAAGATGTGTATATATATATTATATACTGAAAATATGCTAGTGTAGACAAAAAAAACGGGTATATGTCTGTTGTGAATGTTTCGTCCTGAAGGAAAATAAAACGATATGGTTTCCTGTATCATTTCTAAAAACACTGTGCTGTGTGTCGTAAGTCCAGTTTGTTGTTTTCACTGCATCGTTGTGGAAGTCTGGAGGTTCTTCTTCGTCATCGTGAGGATGAGCGTTGGTTTTGGTCTGTTTACGTTGCTTCTACGCTCTGATGTTTCTGTTGCTTCGTTGCTAAAAGGGAAAAAAACAGGACAGTTTTCTTTACACTGAAGTCATTTATCTGCTGCTGTTATTCTGATAAACACATTTTTAAATCTATATCGGGCTTCACAGTTAATCAAAGGTGTTGATGAAGATAAAACGTGTGACAAACAGCATTATAATTAACTACTGTAGAGCTGCAGATGTTCTCTGGGCTGAAACTCTTGTTCTCCAGATTTAAGAAAACATGTTTTATTTTGTTACAGACCCCAAAATAATGTCACATCATCATGACTTTAATTTATTTTTTCACTGAAAATGAATATTTGTGATGTAAAAATTATAATTTTCACTGAATCACATCACAGTCACATTAATAATAAAAGTTATATCATTATCATATTGTGCAGCCTTGAATTTACACGTGGTTACAAACAGTCTTTATGTGATCAATATCTTTGGACTCTAATATTTTAAACATTAAATATCTTAAAGCGTTTATTGCCTAAGATGTACAAGGTCTTAGTGGTTTTTTTTAGTTAGAAATGATATTTAGACAATCACAGAACACTAACATTAGTTTCTCTTCATTCATTCATTATTCATTACTACTAATAAATGTTAGTTAAAGTTATAATAATAAAGATTTTAATTGTAGAACAAACACAATTTTTGACCCTATTTATTTCCTCTCTATATGGTCTTTATTGTTAGTGGCAGGGTCCGCCATTAACACACTGGTGTCAAATGGCTTACACACACACACACACAGGATGAAGCTGCAACTGATGATGTAACCCTGATAATCTACTTTCTATATTCCCCTTTCATTCTGTAACTACAGCACAGTAAATCTAAACGTACATCTTGGTGTCGACCTGCTGCCCGACACTCTCCCCTCTCAAACGTTGTTCACCGACAGTCGTGAAACGTCTCCATGGTCCTTCGTCACCATCAGTTCTCTTCCTCCCCAGTTTCTGTGTGACTGTCTGCAGCAGAGAGTCCAGACTACACAAGGAGATGTCAGGAAGAAGAAACTCAGCAGATCTCTGCAACAGAAGAGAGGAGAGTCAGATAATGTATACGTACATTGTTTTATAACTATAATGTCGTCCTGTTTGAATGTGTTAGTGTTTTATTGTAGCTGTAAAGTATTCGATAGTGGTGGATAAGTAACCACAATGTTCTTCTTACGAGTAAAAGCTCTTATATTAACAGCAAAATGTACTTAAAGTATGAAAAGTGATGATATTATTACAGATGTCGCTTTATCTGCAGTACAGGTAGTCGGATCAGACCCTTCAGAGGGTCCTAAGATAAATCTGAGGGGTCATGAGATGATTGATTGAAGAGGAAAGCATAAAAAACAAAGTTCTGTGACACAAATTTGTATTTTTGGGGTGAAATATTGGATATTTTTTACCTATTTGGGAGTGTCAGTTATTGAAATGAAATGAGTAGAAATGTCTCTTTGGTAACAACTCCTAGACCTCTAAAACATGAAAAAGAGCCACAAGTCAAAAAGGTTTGGAAAACATTGGTCTAATATTTAATAATATATTATATTTTATAAGTTTATCATATTTTTTATATGAATGAAAATAAATAATAATAAATAAATGCAGTGGAGTAAAAACTACTATATTTTCCTCTGAAATGGCAAGTGGAGTATGTAACATTATGATGTACAGTTGTAGCTTAAAATAGAAATACTCCGTACAGGACGTGAGTAAATCTTCCTTTCAACCACTGGTGTCTGATTATCTTAATAATTCTAATTTAATAAATAAAAATGTTTTATTTATTTTTAACTGTTGTTTGTTAAGTTATTCTTCCTTTTCGTAATGCTTGTTGAAGTATTTACTGTTCAAACGTTTAATTTTAAACCTAGTTTTAAAGACTAATGGCTTTGCTACAACTTGCATCCTTTAACATTTGATAATAATAAAGATGTTAAAGATAATAACTGAAGTAAAGACCTTCGATGTCTCTGAGCGTCTGTAAGGTTACAACATATTGAATATGTAGTTTGATATGTTCTTCCTCTTGTGTTGGACTGAGATATAATCCTTTCCCCTCTATTACAGGACAAAAGCTGAGCCAGACCAGATCTCTTCCTGGTTGCCAGTAAACGTACAATATAAACTAAACTAACTTCCTCGATGCCCTTTAAACTGTTTTTTTTGTAGTTCACTCACAGGTTTAGAGAACAGGGTGTTGTCCATCCAGGCCCTGCTGTCTGGTGCTTGTTCTGCTACTAACTCGTCGTCTTTGCAGCTTTTTATTGTAAAGTTTGAAGAGATGGTCCCGGTTTGCTCTGATGAACTGATGGGAGGAAGAGGTGTGAGACATCTCTTGGACTTCTGACACTCAGGAGCAGGTTTAGGGTTCAAAGGCGGCAGCACAACCCGTGGAGTTAGTGGTAGTTTGGTGTCAGACGCTGCGCCCAAATCTAATCCTGAGTCAGAACCACTTGGATCGATCCATTCTTCCACAGATGGGTCGTTATTGCTGCTGGTTTCTGGTCCCTTTTTACTCTTTTCCTCCTCTTTCCCCTCCTCTTCCTCCACAGGCTCCTTGGCTGCTGCCAAAACAGGCATTAGGTTGACACAAAGCCTCATTATGTTCCCTGATGTCTCACATGTGGTGAGACTTCTCCTGTTTGACGCAGTAGCTTCAATCTTCTCCTTTGCCTTCACAGTTCTCATCCTGGGTACTGAGCCCTTTACCTCGCCCACGATCATCGGACAAGTGTCTGGTTCATGTTTTTGTAGTCTTACTGTCTTCTTTTCTTTCCACATTCCAAATTTTGTACAAAAACACTTTTGAGAATCGTCTCTGATGTTGTCCAAACATCCCTCAAAAAGAAAACAGCGTGTTAAGATATTTAAAAAAGAGCTTTGTGTTCTGACAAACTCACTTTGTCTCTCTTACAGCAGCAGTGAGAGAAGCACAGGACAATTAGGCGACTATGTGGTTGGAACTATTAAACTGGCTGTTATGGTAACATGCACACAAACCTTTAATGAGTGGGAAAAGTCATTGTGAGCTCAGATTATAAAAGGAGGATAATGTTTGAGCTGAACCACTCAAAGGTGATGGATTATAAAGATGATGGAGGTGGCAGTGGATTTATTTTGCAGGTAATGACAGGAATTGGTTTCTTGAGCAGTGCCAGAGATTGTCTAATGGAAAGATGCATCACTCAGGTCAAGAAAAAAACATGTATTATTAGTGGGACACATGAGTGTTTTAACTTTACTGCTTTGTGTTTGAAATATAAATTTCAAGATTGTTAACAGTTTGTTATTTGATAGCAATAAAATATGTTTTCTAGCGGTTATATTGTGATAATAATGACATTTCTTTTGTGTTTTGCTTGTTTTGCCACCCTAAAGCGATCAAACAAATCCAACAAACTTCCAGTAAAACTGTGAAAATCCTACAAGAACAAAACATTTATTTCTATTTAAAGGTGAAAAAGTCTAATAGGATTTTTAGATTAAAAAACAGATTTCCAATAATAGGACTTCTTATAGATTTCCTGTAGGATTTTATAGAAATGAATTTTACTGGATTTTACTGGAAAAGATAAAACACATTATATCCAACTATATATAGCCAATCAGAATCAGAAATACTTTATTGATCGGGGGGGATTAGTTTGTTACAGTTACACATGTTAAAGAATAGAAATAACACTTATATTACAATATCTAACACAATATATAGAATAATTATATGTTTACAGGTATATCCATATAATAAGATAATAAGAGCCTCTATACAAAGTAAACATATTTCACATTATGTCACATTTTGGTTGCAGAAATTATAGATAATTACAAAGAATGATTAAATAATTACAAGAATAATACTCCAATGATCCAAAGAAACTTTATTTAATACAAACCCTTTTCAATCTAAAGGAAGTAATAGAGCTTTACTATATATATATAAATATATAATAGACGGAGTGAGAGCTCTTAATGTTTGACCCTCTTTGAACTCACAGCAACAACAGGAGCCAGTTAGCTTCTTACAACACAATCTGTCAAACAAACACCGGTTTTAACTTTATTCGTTCACTTTTCTCCAGAGTTGTGACTTTATATCCGTCCTTGCTCCTGGAATAAGATGGTGGTTTTGACGAATAACACAGAAGAACAGGATTATATGTGAGTGTGAACATTACGATGTCAGCGAAGCTAGTTAGCCACGATAAAATACAAATGTAAATATCTTAAGTTTATCTTCTGAGTCTGTCTAGAAGAGCTGGAATCGTGTCAGCTCTCTCTGTTAATCCTCACATCTCCAATGCTCCCGGTTGGTGGTGTGTTTGATGGTTTTATTAAGGTTTTAACAGGATGTGAAGTTATATTTTCTGTTAGCCTTTTAGCTGCTGGTAGCTAACTAGCTGACCTGGATGTGCAGGTTCTCAACATTTTACTCTCTTTTCTATCACTGATGATCATATTATATTCAATGCATGACTGTTACAGTGCATAACAACTGATAAACTATGCAGTGCACCCAAATAATGAACAATAACTGCAGGAAGTTTGTGTAAAACCAGAGATTTGGATGCATTTTAATCAGAGTTTTATTCTGTTATCTGTGTTTTTTGTGTCTTTTTAGATTTATTAACAATCACACATACTTAAAGGTCCAGTGTGTAACATTTAGGAGGAGCTATTGGCAGAAAATATATAAAACATAGTATGTAGATTTACCTTTAATCAGCTTCCTTCTCGACAGATTTTGGGTTTTCTTCTCATTGTTTATTAGTTTTTTGGTTGTTTGAACTTTTCTAATGAAGGGCCATGTTGTTTATCAGACATACAGTGAATACAGTGTGTGTTCAGGTCTTCACCGTGACCTTATTGTGTTTATATCCTAAATAATAATATAAGAAAATAACAGTTTCATGTAATTTTCTTCACAGAAATAAAGGAATTATTGCGATTAAAATCAAGACGGATTCACAACCTGCTGTGAAGCTTTGGTAGACCCCCGGGTTGGAAACCGCTGACATAGACTATAATTTAAAGGGATGGTTGATCAGGAAGTTTCTACCAACAAATTACGCCTTCCTGCTACAAATCTTACTCAGATTATGTAGTGATTTCTTTTCAACACATAAAGACGAAGCTACAGCTTATCGTTGTAAAATCTGTACGTATGCCACTGCCTGGTTTACACATCAGAGTGAAGTTATGAACGCTAACTAACCCAGGCAGATACATTACATCATATTATGTTGCTGCAGTGTTGCCGTCAACCTGCAGGACTCGAGCTAAAAATGGCCTCAGCTGAGCGAGTTGGGAACTCGGAGGCAGAAGAACCCAGCAGAGGCGGGTCTTCACAACAACACCCACTGACCTACATCTGCAGCTCCTGCAGGATGCTCCTCCCAGCTCTCAAACGTTCAAACATACCGCAGAGATAAAAGGGAAAACGATTTACTTTAAAGCCCTGAATAGCTGTTTTAAAAGCTCGTGATCAGCTTCACCTTTCAGGGCAACTTCACCTGTTTGGTGTCTTTTTCTTTTCTTGGATAGCGTGCCGAATGAGATTATGGTGTAAGGATACACTGCATGTTCTGCGGGGGGATTGGAGGGTCGGTGGTTCAAGCCCAGCACAGACCACAGTAAGGAGTGTGGACTGGTAGCTGGAGCCAGTTCTCATTCTCGGCACTGAACCCCTAACTGCTCCCGTTTCTCCATATTTGCATTGTATTTTGGACAATTTCCCCATTAGGGGTTAATAAAGTAAATCTTCTCTTGTGCAGTAATGCAGTCAGCTATTGTTTCCACTTCCTGCCTGCAGCATTGCTCCATCGCAGCCTCTAAAAGGTCTTCTGCATGCTCAAGAAAATGTTCAAGTACAAAGAGCAGCCACAGCACAGACCGGTCTCAGCCAGAACAATGCAAGGTCATTGAAGTTGATGGAAATTAGGTCACAAAATACGTTTCATATCCTGTGTACTGAGAAAAGCGTGCTCTCTCACGCTGCTCTCACTGGTTACAGTAATCACGGACTGAAGAAGTGTAGGCAGCAGCTTGAGAAAGTGTGTACAAATGATCTTCATCCCTTCAACATACAATAAATTAATAAGATCTGAGGAGTTTGTACCCCGCCCCCCCCCTCCAGGATTTGTGTGACTAAACTGGCTAAATTGACATCTTGCACTTCGTCTTCCCAGCCTGATAGAGGAGCGTAAATGCACCTCCCTGCCCAGCTCTCCCGCCAAGCGAGTGTCTCCGACCAAAAAGAAGCAGTTTTATATCAATCAAGCCATCCGCAACTCTGACCTCACTCCCCGAGCCAAAGGCAAGAAGAGCCTCCGCCGACAGGAGAACAGTAAGCTCTCATTTCACATGATCAGATTAAAAAGATGTTGTCATCCACTGCAGATGAACAATGCCGGACGAGCCTTTAAGTCCGCGTGCAGCTCTCCACTGCACATGTTTATTTTTGCATTGAAATGGCACACGGTGCCTTTTGCATTGAGTCGCTGTCGCTACAGAAATGCTACAAAAGAATGTTTTTTTTTATCTCAAGAATGAACACATTTAACATCCCGCTGTCCTTTTTTATGTGTCTTCTCTGAAAATCAGCGCGCTTTCTGGCTAATCTTCTTGAGAGAGACGAGTGCTCCAAAGATGATCTGGAAGTTTGCAGTAACCCGGCCATCCCGTCCATCTTCACTGAGGCCTGCACCAACGGAAACTACATAGAGGTACGTTAACTTCTAGCTGTGCTTCAACTCGGCCGCCTTGCTCATTGATTTCTTTCCCACAAGTATGTTTATTGTTGTTTACTCGTTTGGACACTACACATACTTTACAGTCAGACACAGCTTGCATTAAAAGCAGATAGTATACCAATAAAACCATCTTTCCCCTCATTTGCATGTTAACACTGTATTTTCAGGAAACGCTTAAGTTCATGTCTTTAATTATATCCATGTGAGGCTCCCACAGCTCAACAGTCTTCAAAGCAGCCATGCTCTTCCAACATAGTGAAATGGCCCTTCTGGCTGGAAGAAGTCCAATAGTTTAGTCCTTTTTCGATGTTTGTATAAAGTCCTCAGGGATTATTCCAAGCACACAGAGTTTGGAAGTGGACTTTGGTATAAAACAACCTTTACAAAGTTTGGATCTTTAGACATTCCCATAGACAATGCAACAGAATACCTTTCTCATTCAAACATTATGAACAATCATCTGGAATATCAGCAGACATATGATGAAGTTTGACTGGAGTTATAAACGTTCTGCCTTCTGCATTAAGTCTTTCGTGCTTTTGGATTTTTCTTTTAAGACAATTGAGTTTTATCTTTTTAACTCCCTACAAAACCCAGAGATTTAAAGTCTGGGATCAAATGTAAAAGCTCAGGATAAAACGAGTATTGACCTCATCCCTCGTTCTCTGGGTATCTTAGCCATGGAATGACTTCATGAATTGCTCCGGCGAGGAGCAGGAGAAGCTGTTGTCTCTGCTGGAGCAGGAGGGGGCCAAGAAGAAAAGCCCCACCCGGGTCCTCAAAGACGAGAGGAATGGTGAGCGTCTCAGTTTGTGTGTTTGTTGTGCAGCCTGGATGTTTTTCAGGGGCGGCTGTTTGGCTGACTCGCTCGTCTCTTCACAGTAAATCTTGCCTTCAGCGCTCAGGTCTGCTACCAGAGAATCGATCGCAGGCTGCGAGCGACTCTCAGACGCAAACAAATCCCCATGGTGAGTGTCAGCTCTTCTTCTTCTTGTCGGTTGGATGGGATTTACAGTATATGCATGGTAGGATTCACATACATAGTGCAGCTTCAAGCTTAAGTTAGCCTTAAGTTTTTGTCTTCTGTCTATATGGTGATATGATAACTGTTGGAAGATATGTTAAGCTCATTTTTGCCACGTTTTCTTTATATTCTTGTTCGTCTCTGCTGTGCATCAAACACACCAGCTTGTTGTCTCTTAGTCACCATTACCCTTTACCCATTAATCACAAAGCCCTGGACGACCCTCTGAGTATCACTGACAAATCATCTTGAGCCTCCTGTAATCTGACTGAAGCCTTAGAAAAATGTAAGTTTAGGAAATACATTAGCTCCTAATTGTTATTATAATGCGTTAAGACTACATGCAGGGATGTGAGGGAAGTGAAAGAATCCTGACTCAACAAGGAAGCTTGCAGAAGTTCGTATTTTGCTAAACTCATTTGATTGTTGTGGAGATTTAACCTCTTACCTTTCTCCCTCTCTTGCTTCCACCCACTAAGTTGTTTTCTCGTCACAGGGAACTCTGGAAATACTTGAGAAAAACCTCCTGAGCTTCTTCAATACTCAGCCGCACTCAGTTTACACAACCAACCTCGCCAGCAGGTAAAAATACTTCTATTCTATAAAGTCTTAAAAAGCATTCAGAAAAAATAAAAAAAAGTATTTTCAATTTGTACAATTCATATACAAAAGTTTTAAATATATTCCCACTGGCAGTAATGTTTATTTAAAATGTTTATTAACTATATCATTAGGAATTATTGTTATACAACAATATGGGATGTACAGAAATATTAGGCCACATTGTCCCTACTGGTTTTTCATCATACTTTCATACCTTCACCAGTGTGATTGTGAAACAACTTAAATGTAACTTTGTAAAGCCTGCACCCTTTATGTTTATAGACTTCCAGTGCTTAATTTAAATGATTTAAATTGATAAGATGCTGCCATTTTTCAGCTGTTATAAATTTACGTAATGTTAATTGTTTTTGCTTTTAGGCTCTCAGTTGATTTAGTTTTTGCTTTTATATATACATCTTTATATCTTATTCCGACAGTAACATAACAGAGGACGTTTTAGTCCACATGCTCACTCTCAGCCCTCTCGTGTATTTCAATGAGGCCTGTCGGGTGATACATCGAGGGTTTCACGAGGCTCAGGTTTCGTCACAACACATAATCGTGACGAAGGTCTCGTAGAATTATAAACCGCTCTGCTGTGTTTTGGCGTCTGATATTAAACTCACGGACGTGTTACTCAGACTGAGCTTCCTGGGTCATATTTCATGTCTCACTGGTGCCTGGAACAGCCCCACCAATACAGCCCCTTTATGCTGTGTTAATACACTTTTATCTCCTCTTTTCCAGGTAGGGAAACATAATTAGGATCCATCAGCCAGAGCTTTCAACCTGCATATTATATTTTATTATATTATATAATAGATCACAGGAAACCTATATGATCCACATAAAAGAAGTGAAGATGTTGCAGCAACAGGAAATACAACAAACAACAACAAGATGTAAAAAAAAAAAAAAAAGTCAAATAATTGGCATTAAACACTGACTTTATTGATCTATGCTGGGAAACTAGTTCACTCCAGGAATAATACTCTGTTCGGATCGAGTTGACTGGTTTCTGTAAGTGGTTGGAGGACGGCGAGGAGTGAAGGAGTGTAAAATAATCCCTCTGTTGTTTGTGTGTGTGAATCAGCTTCGAGAGACTGCTGCTTCACGCCGTCTGCCAGTATATGGACCTCGTCTCCGCAAGTGAGTGGAAAGACAATTTAGACTGGACTCATATATCAGACTAGTCAGGGATTTCCATCTCATAAAGATATAAAAATGCCTCAAAAAAGAGTTATTGTACATAATAATAATAATATAGCACATTTAAACAGTGTTTTTAAACTGATTATTGACTGATTATTCTCTGTTTACATAATCCTATTTTCACAGCCCCGGTTAAGCGGCTTAATGTTTTTCAGTCACATGAGAAGTGATCAAAGTCTGTTTGTTGGACTCTCAGGCACCGACAACAATGGGTCACGTCAGACCGAAGTGGTGAACAAACAGGACGAGTTTCTGCCTCCTTCACTTCCGCTGTCTGCCTACGTGGAGCAGATGAGCTGAGACCAGGACCACCGGGACCTGTTTCCTCCACGCGGGCCCCGCTGCCGGCGGGAGCTCTGAGAGGTGTACATAAGGTGCGCAGTCTGTATGTAAAGTCTGTGTAACGTCCGCCAAGCTCAGAAAACAAAGCTGAACAATTCTTCCCCATCCTCTGGTTGGTCTCTGGTTTCTGTAGTAAATTTTCCATTGTTTTATTTCCATGAGCAAATCAGAGTTCATCGACCCCTCCTTCGTATCTAAACAGGGGTCTACATGCTAAATGTTCCATGTTAAACATTAGCATGTAGCGTTCAGCTCAAAGCACAGCAGTACAGCTTGCCTTCGCAGAGAATAGACCTTTTGATTTAGATAACGCGACCTCTCTTGCACCATCCTCAGGGCAAATGTTACATTTTCTGCCTCACTAGTACAAACCTAAGAATAGTAGAGTTGTCTGGTGTACAATAAGAGGTTACAGCACCGTGGAGCTGCAAGGCTCGAATGAACTGCTGTCTCCATACAGCATTGGGAATCGAATGAACTATCTTTCCCAAGTTTTAGGCATAATCATTAATATATAATGGTGATAATTGACTCTTAATTTTGGGAGAATTTGGTGATAATCTGTGACGTTCATTCACAATAACAAATCCAAGTTACGAGCAAGTTACATTTGATACAACAGATGGCAACAACTATCATTCAGTCAGTCAGCTTTTTCATCAGAATGGATTTATGAGCTTAAAGCAGTCGGTTAATGAACAGTTAATCCATGTTGTCCCTTTTTCATAGTGCAAAATATATAATTTCACCACTAATTAATTTACGCAACATAAATCCCCTCAAAAAAAAAACACCCTCAATTTCAATAAAACACAAATTCATAACAGTGAAAAATTACAAATATTAACCTAAAAAATGGAAAATTTACTGGGAACTCTGTATTGTTAAGAATGAATGACATTTTGTGAAGGTGCTGAGATGGAGGAAGCGCTCTAATGCATCACTGCCTGAAGGATTAGCCTGTAGGATTTGTGTAAGTCGTGAGGTATAAAGCATGAATATTTATAGTCTCTCTTCATTATATGCACAAACACATCACTCATCATCATCAGAGTTAAAAGAAGCAAATGTCTTTTATCAAGGGTGTGAAATATAGCTTCTGACATGCTTGGGATATAATGTAATTATCTCTGAGAAGACAACTATGACGGCGTATTAGGGCCATGTAGGTAAAAGAAAATATAAATCACTGGGTTGTTGGAGGGAGGTAATATTCAGAGACTAAATAAAAGTCTTTAGGTTTACAAGAAAACAAAATATTCTTGTGATTAAAGTGGGAAATTTATTTAAAAAAACTTGAATATTCTCCACAATTTTTCCTACAGATTTGTGACTGTGAATCTCAGAGAATATTCAAGCTTCTTTCTTGTAAATTTATGACTTTAATCTCTGAAATCTATGAACTAACCCCTTCCCCAGCTCCGTATTTAATTAAATGTTTTACCTAATATAGCCCAAATACACCGCAATAGAAAAATAGGCACAATTTCTTCAGGATCTATTTTTTGTGATTAATTTATTCTTTTCGTTGTACCTTCCTCTGCTAGCTTTTGGTCTACACTGGCCGTGTTTCCGCTGCGTTTTTCATTCGTATCTGAAGAATACGCTAACATTGTAATCAACCAGACCGTCCGTATCAATCAACTAAAGACTAGAGTACAGACTCAGAGAATAACTGTGACGTTAAGTTCAAGTCCGTTTCCACTTACAAGCTAAAGTATTTGATTGTAAAGCTGATGATAGCTGCAGCTGTTGATGTGCTGCCTTTACTGCACACTGGTGTAAATGTTACTACAGTCACAGTCAGTAAAAGAAGACAAAATAAGGAACTATATAATGGTTAAAAACTGCCAGTATCCCTGTTGTTTTTAGATTTATTCATGGGTTTCTTGCAGCACGCACAGTTTACACTCAACACTGTAACATTAAAGCCTTTTTTTACAAACACAGGTGATATGGTTTAAAGGTTTACTGTATGTGCACTAGATGTGTTACAGTGGTAAAAAAAAAAAAACACATTTAAGGTGTTTTGATGTTAAAAAAAAAAAAAAACCTGAGTTTTGTCTCTCGGGTTTGTTTAATTTCAATATTTACAACCCCAGAAAAGCTCTTCTGCCTTATGAATACAAGTTTCTTGTGTTTTTTCTGTACATATATTTCTACATTTGTACTTGACTGGATTTTGGAAACAGGTTATTTAAAGAAAAAGAAAAATCTCTTATCCCCGATTTGTTTTGATACTGTCGTCGGCAGTGTAACTAAACTGGACCTGTTGGTGCATTTTGTCAACAACCAAAGTTTGTGTGTTTGTTTTGTGGAAATCCAATTTTCTCAGGCTTTCGACTTCTCTCTTTCTCTCTGAATGTCACGTAATGATCTCACATGGTGTCATTTCCTGTGTACTGTATACTTTCTTTTTCAAGATGAACTTGTTACGATCATGTTCGCCACAGCCTCTCGGGGGCGCTGCCAACTTTTTGAATACACGTAGATGTAGTTGTGCTGAAAATACTCAGATAATTGACTTGTGCCAATGTTTGCATTAATAATAGTCTGAAAGCTTTATACACTAGACTGATACAACTTCGTGTATATAATGATATGTGTGTGTGTGCTATGGTACCTATTTATAATTATCACTGCAACTATTAAAGGATTTAAGATATTTGTTTCTCTCTTCTCATTTCATTGTGTACTTTGTACTTCACTAAGACACATCTGAGGAGGTTTAAGAGCTTCGGTTTTCTGTAACTTCATATTATTGTACAAATATCAGCTGCAGTGTGTCTGTCAGTGGTGGAAGAAGTGTTCAGATTAAGTAAAAGTAGTAAAACTCAACTTCAAAAACGCTTAAATACAAGTAGATGTATCTTTCTATACAGTTATTCTTGACACCAGGTCGGATTCCCATTGAATTCAATGAAACGAGGCGGACCACCAGGGTCAAAATCAACATATGTTGTATATGTATATGTTGATGTATATGCTGCTATAAAGAACATAATGTTAAAGTATGAGCGCATGCAAGTTTAGAAACACAACACTCTTCCAGCTCCTACTTTATTTCATCAGCTGGGAAACAATATAAATGTTGTCAGGATCCATCTGGAACAGATCTGTGATTATAGACAATAAACCCTAAAATGTTATTTTAAACAAACACTGCAGAACTTTTATCAGTGATTCTCAACAAAAGTTAAACAAAAAGTAACCAGTTTGGTTTTAAAGAAACATGTTATAATCACATTTGTGGAGGATTAATAAATGATTATAAGCCTGTGGTTAAAGGATGATAACTGTGTCCTTCAGTAAATATTAATGTTACCCGCCCAAAACAATTTAAAATAGATATTTTTAAAGTTTTTTAAGATGTTTTTTTGTAAAGATCTCCAGTAATATGACAGTAATCTCTACAGTTTCCATCCACAGGCCATCACAGCTACCTCCAGACACAGTCAGGAACGAACCCTGCACAATAAACGTCTAATATACATGCTAGTTACTTATTCTCATTGTTGACATTTAAAACATGTAAATATCATCACTAAAAACACACTTTACTGTATATACTGGCACATCCCCCTTTGTACTCAGCAACATTTCACATATGAATGTTACATATATATATATATATATATATGTACATAGTAGTTTATGTTTACTTTGTGGAGCTTGCTGTCCTATTTATTTATGCTTTATTCTGTGTATGTACGTTAAGAGCTCCCACTAGGTGGCGGACTAGTACAAAGAAATACACACCACACTAGAGACTGCTATAATAATGTAATGCTCTGTATGAGTTGTATTTGCACACATTATTTATAGTTTTAAAAACTGGAACAGCTTTTAATTAAGGAGCTTTGAACGATTGTATAAATGGGCAGCAGGAAAGAAAAGGAAAAACTGGATGAATGAAGGAAGAGTTTAATGCAGGTGTTGATGCACCAGTTTTCAAAATAAAAGTCTAGCTAACAGAGCTCAGTAGCAGCCAATGTCAGGTCTCTAAAATCATGTTATCAAATACCAAACACAAACAGCACTGACCAAAAGGACATAAGGACCATACAGTGCAGGGTTGACAGATGCTGCTTATTGGTATTTAACTGAATATGACCCTCCCCTGTGCAGCATTGCTTTAAGTATTACAGTATATTTACTCAAAGTCTTTCTTCTGATGTGTTCATTGTGTTCACATCCTGTATCGTTCCTTAAAAAGTGGTTCAACACAACTTCAAACAGAAAACGTAAGCAAACACATAAAAAAAGGTTGAATTTATCACTTGTTATATTTTAAGAGCAAGAAATAATCAGTTAAATTAGTTCATTAATCAGTTTATCATTAAAAACCCTGAGCAGAGATAAGAAAAAACATTTAGAAAGGCTTGAACATACAGCTTTGACGTTATATTTGCACATCAAACACTGAAGTCAAACACTAATATTTACAAAAACAGGATAGTGAAGATGTTAACCTAATTAAAGGTTCATCTTTTATCTGGACCCTTATTTCTACAAACTTCTTCATATTTGCATTTATTGTATCGCACATTTTCTCATTATAACACTCACTTCCTGTGTGTGTCGACCCCACCCTGGCAGAGACTATCAGGGTACAACCAATAATTTCACATATGGT